TCAACTTGCACATCTGAAATTTGACAGCAGTTTATTTCAAATGTTTACATAAGTGTCTGTAAGCCATTGATGTGTCTTTATACACACTTGCCCCCATTGCAGCCCAGCCAGCCACACCTCCTTCCTGGTTTACTGGTTTACTGCAGCAACTCCTGATTTGTCTCTTGGCTTGGTCTCTCCCCCTTCCTTTTAACCCATTCTTCCCTGAAGGACCTGTGCTTTTCATACAATGTAAATGTAAATACGACTTAACATCTTTTTTGGGGGGGGGCACCTGGGTGGCTCAGTTGGCTGAGCGTCCTACTCTTGATCTCAGCCCAGGTCTTGATCTCAGGGTCATGAGTTGAAGCCCTGTATTGGGCTCTACCCTGGGCATGGAGCCTACTTAAAAAAATAAAAAAATAAAGCTTTTTTTGTGGCTTACTATTTTACTTAGAAAAAAAATCCAGGTATACAAAGTCTTCCACAAACTGTCCCGTGCTCCGAGTCTCTCTGTTCTGTCCTGCCCCTCTACCATATACTTACTTGTCTCCAGCTTGACCTTCACTGCTTTGAACACCTCAAAACCATTCCTGCCTTACAGCCTTTATGTGTTCTCACATGGCTTGAATGCCCTCAACTTTCAGATCTCAGTATATATATTCCTGCCTCAGAGAGATTTTCTGATTTTCTCATATCTAAACTACTCCCCTGACCAGCTCTGTTTATAGCATTTATCTCAAGTTTTGGTCTGCTTCCTCTACAGAACTGTAAATTTCTTAACAATGGAGAATCAACAAATGTTAGCCATTATCACATTATTACCATTGTTATATTAACGATCCAGTATCAAGAACTGTTAAAGGTCTGAGATTTTACTATAGCTGGAGGTTAACAGAATATCCCGTTACAGTTTCATGGATACTGGTAGAAGACATAAGACACATGGCTCAGAGACAAAGGACAGTTTATTACTCACAGCATTAATAGTAGCTAGAGTGGCAGGATTTTTTGCCCATTTCTTGGCCCCGTTTGCCAAAAATCAATGCAAAGAGGCCCAGAAAATACCTGCAGATGTGGTGGGTTGCAATACAGTCGAGCAGTCTCAAGTTAAGGAACTTGAGTCTTTTGTACTGGTCAGTAATTATGTCTTCTGTTTGCTCTGGACGGAGACACTGTAATAGTCCCGGACTGTGAGCAAACCTGCCCTTTGCTACAGAAGGAGATGCTGTATCTTCCAAGGGTGTTCACTCACCCAAGATCCTTGAAAAGATAATCCAGAACAAATGGCAGTCAGTGTCTCACTAGCAAGGTATGCAGAAATGTGAGTGACCCAAGGAGAATTGTCTCCAAACAATATCTGCCTCTGAGTATTCATTCCTAAGTAACATCCTTGGGTTTTGCATAGTTATCTTTATATAAGTGAAATGTTAAAGTTTCAGCCCCCCCCCTTTTTTTTGCTAAATAATATTCTTTGGAGAGTTATCCATCTTTTTGCATGTAATTGAAATTCATTCAATTTTGTTACTAGATACAGTATGTGCTATTATTATATATATTATTGGCCATAATACCACATAATTGTTTTATCCATTTTACTATTTCTGGATATTTGAGATGATTTTGGTTTCCTAGTTATTCCTAGAAATGCTTTTATGAACATTCTTGTACATTCCCATAATGCCTGTATTTCTTTTGAGTTTATACCTAAGATAGCACTTCTCAAACTTTTTGATCTCAGGACCTCTTTATACTTTAAACAATAATTAGGAACCTCAAAGAGCTTTTGTTTATGTGAGTTATGTCTATTGTTATTCACCAGGGATATCCACTTTTACCCCTTTTATTAAAAATAGTACTGGAAGTTCTAGCCTGACCACTTGGGCAAGAAAAAGAAATAAAAGGCTTCCACACCGGAAAAGAAGAATTAAAATTCTCTCTATTCACAGATGATATGATCTTTTATGTAGAAAACCCTAAAAAGTCCCCCCCAAAACCTGTTAGAACTTGTAAATGCATTTATAAAAGTAGACTACAAAGTCACTACACAAAAACCAGTTAAATTTTTGTACACTAACAATGAACAATCTGAAAAGGAAATTGAGAAAAAAATTCTATTTATAGAATAAGAGACATATCTACAAAAAGGTTGCTACAGCTAATGTCAAAAAAATTACTGCCTTCTAGGATTTTTATGGTTTTAGGTCTGACATTTAGGTCTTTAATCCAGGAGTGCACTTGTTGTGATGAGCACTGGGTGATGTATGGAACTGTTGAGTTATTATATTGTATACCTGAAACTAATATAATACTGTATGTTAACTAACTGAAATTAAAATGAAAACTTAAAAAAAGAACAAGATATTTAAGAATTAACCAAAGATTGCATGACTTATATAAATAAAACTACAAAACATTGCTGAAAAAAATTTAAAAAAATGCAAACATACCTTATGTTCATATTTTGGAAGACTTAATATTAATAAGATGTCAGTACTAACCAAAGTGATCATAGATTCAGTGCAGTCCCTATCAAAATTCCAATGATGTTTTTTGCAGAAATAGAAAAAGCCATCCTAAAATTCATATGAACTCTCAAGGGATGCTGAATAGACAATCAATCTTAAAACAGAAGAATAAAGCTGAAAGATTCACACTTCCTGATCTCCAAAATTACTACAGAGCTACAGTAATAAAAACAGTGTAGAACTGGCATGAAGACAGATATAGACCAATGGAATAGAATAGAAAGCCCAGAAATAAACTCTCACATATATGGTCAAGTGATTTCTTTACAATGGTGCTAAGACCATTCAATGGGGAAAGGACAGTCTTTTCATCAGATGGTGCTGGAAATTTGGGTACCCACATACAAAAGAATGAAATTGGACCCTTACCTATGACCATATATAAAAATTAACTCAAAATGGAATTAAACCTAAATGTAAGACCTAAAACTATCAACCTCTTAGGAGAAAAGAGAGCAGCAGTTTCATAATGTTGGATTTGGCAGTGGTCTCTTGGATATGACACCAAAAGCACGTGTAAGAAAAGAAAAATAGACAAAATGACCTCATGAATATTAAAAATAATGTGCATCAAAAAACACCATAAACAGACTAAAAAGGCAAACCACAGAATGGGAGAAAATGTTTCTAAATCATGTATCTGATTCAGAATATATAGAGTACTCCTGAAACTCAACAATAGAAAAGTCTGATTAAAAAACAGGCAAAGGATTTGGATACACATTTCTCTTAAGAAGGTATAAAAATGGCCAATAAGAACATGAAAAGATGCCCAATAGCATAATCATTAGGGAAGTGCAAATCAAAAAGGTATCCGAAAGGTATTTCGGATAAGAAAATCTTTCTGGTAGGCTCTAGTTGACACAAAAGCACTCACAGAGGTAGACTTTTTTGAGTTGGGTTAGGGGTGTCCAGCCAGATAGAAAAAAGTTCTTTAAAAATTGAGCTACCACCTCAAACCCCTTAAAATGGCCACTATCAAAAAACCAAAAAATAACAAGATTTGATGAGGATGTGGAGTAATTCGAATCTTTATGCACTGTTGAGAATGTATAATGGTAGAATTGCTGTGGAAAACAATATGGCGGTTCCTCAGAAAATTAAAAATTGAATTGCCATATGATCCAGCAATTCCACTTTTAAGATCTGTTCTAATTCCTTTCTAATAATTGAAAGGAAGATTTCAAAGGGATATTTATACAGCCATGTTGATAGCAGCATTATTCATAATAGCTAAAATGTGGAAACAATCCAACTGTTCATTAACAGATGAATGGATAAATAAAATGTGATATACACATACAGTAGAATATTGTGTAGCCTTAAAAAGGAAGGACATATGCTACAACACTGGTGAACCTTGAGGACATTATGCTAGGTGAAATAAACCATTCACACAATGACAAATTCTGTATGATTCCACTTTTATGAGGTGCATAAGGTAGTCAAAACCATAGAGACAGAAAGTAGAATGGTGGTTGCCAGGGACTGGAGGAGAGGAGAATGAGGAGTTATTTTTAATGGGTATTGTGTTTCGGTTTTACAAGATGTAAGAGTTCTGGAGATAGATGGTGGTGATGGTTGTTCAATATTATGAATATATTTAATGCCTTTGCACAGTACACTTAAAAATGGTTGGATGGTAAAGTTTGTTATGTGTATTTTACACAATAAAAAATGGAGAAAGAAGAGCAAGAAAGAAAGAAAAAAGAAACAGAAAAAGGTTTACAAATGGTAGATTTATATTTTCTATATTTTCAGAATATATATGAATACTTCCTAAGATTACAGTTACTGTGGATGGCCCTTTATTCCATTCCCACTGTGATTTTCTCCAAAAAGTGTTTTTATATAGAAAGATTTTGACTTGAGAAGTATTTCTCGGTGTTTCTCCAACGTGGAATCACTGGAGAATAAGAATCTTCTACGTTTAATATTTTTTTTTTTAGCATTAGAAACTTATTTGAGGATGTATTTCAGTCCAAATGGCTCAACACGTAACTATCACAAAGATCCCTGTGTATGAGGAAAGTCATTTGGCCTGTTTAGAACTGGTGGTGTCCTTTAGTGCTTTCCTTGCAGTTTGGTTCAATTCCAGGGAAACACGCTGACAGAATATTAAATCTTATGCACTGAAAACTAAGAGGTAGCTATGGACATCCCTATTGGATGCTTTCCTCTGTCCAGTTTTGAGGCTACAGATTAATAACTGCATTTATTAGAGTTCATTTTATTTCTTAGTGGGAGACATTATATCCTACACATCAGTGTTTGCTTTTCCCCTAGGTTATAGACAGTTTTTGGTGCTGACTTCTACTGGCAGCTATTTTGAACAACTTAGCTCCAGGGAGGTCTTGGATATTTCCTTTCAGTATTTTTTCTTCTAACTTTTTTGTTTGATTTTGGAATTTCTGTATTCTCCTCATGCAGACTTCTAACCTATTCTGATCAGTTGGTCATTCTAACTTGTTTTTTCCTTTCTTATTTATTTAGAGAGAATGTCCAATATAGAAACAGAATATGTTTTCGGAATGAATGAGGTAAGTTAAATGTATATGTATTAGTTTCCAATAAGTCAACAGAAAATCGAGACAAGGCTACAAATGTACTTTTTCTGAATACTTAGTACTTCATTATTTACTCATACTACATTCTTTTTATTTTGTCCTCTAATCTATTCATGTTTTTGGTAAGGAAAGCAAATTCCATGTTTCATGCAGATTTAACACTTGATCTTTCTAGATGCGATAAGGGAGCAAATATACGTTTGGATTTCTTTTGAGGCTCCCTGTGAAACAAACTCAGATATGCTGAGTCTTGGTGTGTAAGAGAAAAGTATTTGGCTTAATGCTTTGCTGGAGTGTTATGAGGGTGGGATATGTGACAGCTTTTTATGTTACACTTACTGGTATGTGAGGAGTGCTTATTGATGACTAAAATACAGTTCTAGTGACTCAACTCCAATTAAATACATATATTAAATGAAATAATAATAAAATTAAATACAAGTTGTAAAAATAAGAACTTAACTAAAGGCCTTATTTTATTTTATAAACTTGCAAAAAGATACTAAAAATTTACGTTTCTTGTATACAGAGTATAAGCATTCTAAAGATATTTCGGATAAGAAAATCTTTCTGGTAGGCTCTAGTTGACACAGAAGCACTCACAGAGGTAGACTTTTTTGAGTTGGGTTAGGGGTGTCCAGCCAGATAGAAAAAAAGTTCTTTAAAAATAGATAGATTTTTAGGAATAACTGAAATTCCCACCCTAGAAAACAACCCACCAGATAGACTGGCTAGATAAACTGGCTGACTTAAAATTTATAGAAGTTCTGGGATTCCTTTAAAACCTGTGATCAAAATGCTGAGAAAAATAGAATATGACAGCCAAGGGGACTATGAAAATCATTTAGTTCAGTGATTTTTACAATGCAGTTTGTAGATGACCTGAATAACAATTATATTTAAAAATTTCTTAAAAATGTGGACTCCTGGGTCCAATCTGCTAACCGTATTCTTGGGCAATAAGGTTATAGAGTCATGATTTAAAAATAACACCCCCAAGTGATCTTTATTGCTCCTGAAGTTTGAAAAACACTGTCATAAAGCAGAGTCTCCACAACTTAAAGTGATGTAATATGACACAGGGAACATGTTTATTAAATGAGTAAGTGAATCAAGGTAACTATGTAAAAAATTTGTATGTCTCTGGAGTGGACTGAAGAAAAAGTTATATGAGATTTATTGATCCAATTTAAATGGTAATAAATATATTGTCATTTTCATGTTGTTCATATTGACATAATAGTAATATACTCCACACAGATCTCTATATGCTTGCTCAAGTTAACTTCAATTCCAGTTCATTTCTTTGCTATTGTGTGTATCTTTCATATATATATATGTATATATGTGTGTGTGTATATATATACACACACTGTATATATATATATATATATACACACACACTGTAGACTTAAACTTCTGTAATAGAAAAACAATTTCATCAAGTCATATTTGTTCTGTTCCTTATCTCTTTGCATATTTAAAAAGCAATGGATATTACTTCCTTGCTTTCAACCTTGGATAGCCCTTCATTTGAAACAATTTTGCTTAGATTTTTAAGGCTTTACATTTGACTTACCTTTTTTCATATAAAGTATTTTGGAGTAAAAACAGCATCTCTCTGAAACATAGTTGAAGAATGCCTAATAAAGTTTGGAATTATTAAGTGGATATTTTATTGAATTAATCTGTTGAAAAGTGACTGTAGCTTTTGCTTCCAGAAAGAGGAGTAGAAGAAATGTTCCCTGTTCCTTCTGCTAAGTACTACTAAAAACCCTGGACATTATATATAAAACAAGAAGACTCTGAAAGTTAGAGAGAAGAAGAAAACTGTCTAGTGACCTCAGGACCCAAGGAACAACACTGAAGTTAGTTCTCTAGGTTTTCTGTTTGCTTTATCTAGTACAGACTGGGTGTAGGAGAGGCCAGCAAGTGCAGAAATGCTAACTGGCCCAGACAAAGCACCAAGAAAAGGCTATTTTCTTTCAGTGATGGACCAGAAAAAGGGTGACCTAGGAATACAAAAAACTATTAATCAATGACTGTTTTTGTAGCCAAACACTACAGGAAAAACAACAACAACAACAACATAGTCCTACCATCATCCCCTCCAAAAGAGCTGACATGAGGAGACTAGGCATTAACCCCTGTCTGGTGATAATAGGATGCCCCAACTCCTCCTAGAGTTTGTGTCAAAGAATTCTGAGTGGGGAGCCAGGACTTTCATTCCCACTGGATGCTAACATGTCTGTCTCTCTCAATCCCCTGCATGATGTCAGTGGAGACCATGTAAGTAGCATAGACTTCCACTTTCAGCAGTAGTAATAAGGTGCCCAACCCTTTTCTGCTGGGTTGGTATCAGAGGTAGCCCAATGGAGAGCCAATGGTTTCATCATTATCTCGGAGAAAAACCACCTCATACCACTCCCTGATAGTGAAGGCCATGTGGGGAACAGGAGGAGGCACCCTTGCCCTTTCTAGCCAGCTTGGGATCAGTGAAGGTCTAATGGTAAGTTTGAACTCCCCACACCAGCCATCATTAATGAGAAACACTTCCACCACCTTACCACCCCCTCATGTCCACAGAGGCTGAGTGGGGAACCTGGACTTCTACCGGCATCAGATGGTGAGGCATCATCCCACTTAGCCCACCAGAGTAGTATCAGAGGAGACTTAATAAAACATAAGGTTTAAATAAAATCTAGACTCATAACATAAAACTCTAAAGTCCAGATTTCAAGAGAAAAATCACATGTAATATGAAGAACCAGAAGGGGATATCAACTTGAATGAGAAAAGACAAATACCAATGCTGAGGTGACATGGATGTTAGAATTATTTAGATAAGGATTGTAAAGCAACTATCATAATAATGCTTCAATGAGTATTTGTGAACATTCTTTGAACAAATAAAAAAAATAGAAAGTCTCACCAAAAAAAAAAAAAAAGAAATAGAAATTTTAAAGAAGAACATAATGGAGAGCTTAAAACTGAAAAATAGAATAACTGAAATAAAAAAAACTCAACAGCAAAGTGGAAAGGATAAAAGAAAGAATCACTGAATTTGGAGATAGAATAGAAATTTTTGTCAAATGACCTAAACCTACAGATTCAAGAAGCTGAAGGAATCACAGAAATAAATAAACCCAAAGAAATTCACACCAATTCACAAAACTAGATACAAGAAAAAGAAAATTTGAAAGCAGTGAGAGAGAAACGTCTTAACCATAGGGGAACAGTAATTAAAATGACAGTAGATTTCTCATCAGAAACCATGGAGGCTGAAAGAACTGGTACACATGTTTTTTCAAGTGCTAGAAAGAAAGAAACAAAGATGAAAAGAAAAAAGCCAATCCAGAATTCTATAGCCAATGAGACTATCCTCAGGAATGAGTAAGACATTCTCAAGTGAAGGAAGACTGAAGAAATTTTTCACCAGTGCATCTGCCTTAACAGACTGACCAAAGGAAGTTCTCTAACAGAAAATAGAAAGAATTTTGTAACATGAGGAAGGAGGAAAAAAACAACAGAAAGATAAAAATAAGACTTTCTCCTCTTGAGTTTTTAACATTATGTTTGACAGTTGAAGTAAAAATTTTAACAATGTCTGATGTGGTTCTCAATGTATGCACAGAAATATATAAGACACTTATAAAAATTTTGGGATGTAAAGGGAGGTGAGGATCTTAAACTTTACTTGGGAGAGAAAGCATGTAAACTGCAGACTGTGATAAGTAATGTATATATAATGTAAAATAAAAAGCAACCATTTAAAAAATTATATGAAGAGATACACTCAAAAACTGTTTTGATAAATAAAAGTGGAATTATAAGGTAAGGTTTCAGGAACCCACATGAAGTCATGAAAAGACAGAAACATACAATGGAGGGAACAAATAGAAAACAAAAAATAGAAAGGTAGAATTAATCCCTAATGTGTATAATAATTACATGAAATGTAAGAGATTTGAAAAATGTTTTAAAAAACATGACAATAAAAGGATTAAAAATATACATTATGGTTGAAGATATATGCCAAAATTAATAAAAAGAAAGTAGGGGTGCTACATTAATATCCTATAAAGTATACTTTGGAGCAAAGAAAATTACCATGGACAGAGTGGGACATTATATAGAGATAAAAAGGGTCCATTCAACAATAAGACATAGCAATGCTGAAGTTGTATGCACCAAATAATAGCATCACAATATGTGAAGCAAAAACTAATATAATAGAAGAGAGTAATACACAACTCTAATTATAACTGGAGACTTCACCTCTTTCTCAGCAACAGATGGAACAATTAAATAGAAACCAGCAAGGATATAGATGGACTCAACATATCATCCAATAGGATATAATTGACATTTATAGACTATTCCACCTAACAATAACAGAATGCACATCCACCTCAAGTGTTGGTGAATATATGACAAGATAGACCATTTCGTGGGCCATAGAACAAACCTTAACAAATTTAAAATAATTCAAATCATGCAGAGTGAGTTCTCTGACCACAATTAAATCAAACTAGAAATTGGTAAGAGAAAGAGAACAGGAACAGCTCCAACAGTTGGAAACTAAACAGCATACTTCTAAACAACCTGAAGGACAAAGAAAGTTTCAAGAGAAAAACAAAATCAAAACAAAACAACATTGAACTGAATAAAAGTGAAAATGCAGCATATTAACATTTGAGGGATGTAGCCAAAGAAATGCTGAAAGGGAAATTTGTAGCACTAAATGTTTGTTAGTAAAAAGGAGAAGTCTCAAGTCAATAATAAGCTTCCATCTCAAGAAATAAGAGCAAAATAAACCCAGAGAAAACAAAACTATGGGAATAATAAAAAGCAGAAATCAGTGAATTGGAAATTGAAAAATGTTAGAGAAAATAATTGAAACAAAAAGCCAGTTCTTTGAAAAGATAATAAAATTAACAAACCTCTAGCTAGACTTATAAAAAAAGTGTGGG